GCGCTAAGAGAAATAAGCTTCTCAGAGAAAGACAAGTATCACATGATCTCACTCATATGTGGAATCTAATGAACCAAATAAAATGATGAACAAAATGGATCCAGAGATATAGAAGATGGAACAGACTGACAAATCACAGGGAAGACCATGAAGGGTGGGTGGGTGAGAAGAGATCAATCAAAAAACATGTATGCATATATGCATAATCCATGGACACAGACAATATGGGGCGGGCTAGAAGAGGTCAATGGAGATGAAAAAAGGGGACATGTGAAATACTTTCAACAATAAAGATTTGGAAAAGAAAAAGAACATAATACTCTGGCATATTTCAGGATGGTTTTCCTCCCCTCCCTCTGCCAGGAGCATAAAGCGATTTTTTCAGATATTCACTGTGAGGAAATCATAAAAATCCTGCAGGTAAAATTCAGAAAAATGCTCCCCCACCCCCACCCCTGATGATAGGATCTTCTTAGAGTCTTTAGCTCTCAGACTTGTCCACTCTGAGCTTTCAGCAATTAATTCACCAACTGTAGTTGAGGTTTCCCTACCCAGCACTGTTTCCATGAGGTTTTTGCTCCTCTACATTGTTATTATTGTGTCTACCTGTCTGTCTCTCCAATATTTGGGGCAGCAGTTTGCCCGGTGACCTCACTTTTCTGATGGATATAAGAAGAGTTCCAGATTCTTTAGTCTGTTCAACTTCTTACAAGTTATGATGAAACTAGAGGCCGGGTGCACGAAATTCATGCATTCGGGGGGGGGGGGGCCTTCAGCCCAGCCTGCACCCAGTCCGGGAGCCCTCAGGAGATGTCCAATTGACGGCTTAGACCCGATCCCCATGGGGAGCGGGCCTAAGCCGTCAGTTGGACATCCTCAGCACTGCCATGGAGGTGGGAGAGGCTCCCGCCACCGCTGCTTCACTTGCCAGCTGTGAGCCCAGCTTCTGGCTGAGCAGCGCTCCCCCAGTGGGAGCACACTGACCACCAGGGGGCAGCTCCTGCATTAAGCGTCTGTCCCCTGGCGGTCAGTGCACGTCATACTGACCGGTCATTCTGCAGTTCAGTCAATTTGCATATTAGCCTTTTATTATATAGAATGGTGACTCCTAGAGTACTTATGCGCCAGACTAGAAACAGGATGTCCTCCAAGCAACTCTGTTTTCATAATAATATTTCTTTGGCTTATATAGTATTTAATTAAGTGATATATAAATAAGTATGACTTTAGGGTTAAGGAATTGATTTAGTAAATACGTGACTCGAATCATGGGAGTAAAAATAGATGAGTATATTAGAAACTAAACTATTCAGTGAGAGTATTTAGTGTGCTATGGGCATTATTTAAGTCAAGAATTTTTACAGAAGGAATAGAGAATTGACAAACCCAGCAAGTTAGTTGAATGGAGATCAACTATGAGAAATTATACATATGTTCATGTAGCTGAACAATAATCCAATCTATTGTAGCATCCCTTCAAAAACTAACCATAAAATCAAAAAGGAACTGCTATGTATTGATACTACTAAAATAAATGAACAAATATAAATTATCAAATGAATACATAAGGAAAATGAAGAATTTAGAAAACAGGTTAATTGTCCATGAGAGCAGTAGAAAATGTCAAACAATTTTCTCTTAACACTTAGAAACCAAATTAAAAAGAGCTCAAAATAATATAATATTGGGTGAAAGATAGAAAAGGAAAGAAAGTGAGTTCTCTAGATTTTAGGGGGAGAATGGGGATTAAAATAAAAATCATAAATAAGTGTCCCATTAGAACAGGCGTATGAAAGACATGATGGAGGAAAATGACACAAAATAACATGTTTTAAAAATCAAAGACAAATATATAAAAGGAAAAGTGATATACAAAATTCATTGTATACATTATTATTGTTTCTGAAAAATAGACTGTTACAACAAGAAATCAAAGATAGACTAAAACTACTGAAATGAAAGAAGTACTTTAAAAAACTGAAAGGACATGTATTTTAGGAACAGCTGATCTAAAATAATGTTTTTTACTGGAAAATATTGAAGTTCAGAGTCAATGTGATCTTGGCCTTTCCCTTGTGATTTTCCATAGTCATAATATATATTAATAAATCTTCAGATATGTCAAGATGCCTATAAGAAACTATTATTGGTAAAGAAATTCTACCATTTGTTAGATCAAAAGATGGGTAGGGAGCTTCTTTCCAACTCTTTGATTCTATAAATCTTAGTCTGTGTCATCCTTCTTATAGGGCTTCAATGAAAATAGATTCAGAAAGAAAATGTAACTGTACAGCTGTACACTTACGTTTAATTTATTCATAGAGTGCACTGAAGTCAACTAGCCAAGAATAATTGTGACTTTTATAGAAGTCAGCCTTTCCAGTGAATAGTAACATCTGTATATATTAGAGCAGTGATGGCGAACCTTTTGAGCTTGGTATGTCAGCATTTTGAAAAACCCTAACTTAACTCTGGTGCCGTGTCACATATAGAAATTTTTTGATATTTGCAACCATAGTAAAACAAAGACTTATATTTTTGATATTTATTTTATATATTTAAATGCCATTTAACAAAGAAAAATCAACCAAAAAAATGAGTTTGCGTGTTGCCTCTGACACGCGTGTCATAGGTTCGCCTTCACTGTACTAGAGCAAACACTTGGCAAACAAATCAACTGGTATAACATTACCTTTCTGTACCTGCCCCAACTGAGTTTTGTCAAATACACAGGCTTAGGATGACTTCTCAAATATTTATATGTCATGCCCCCAAAAAATTGGCACTAATTCTGTGACACATTTTCATACAATATTTTTTGTTAAATTGGAAAATAACAGGGATTAGCTGTACATTTGAGTTCTCTTTTTTTAGAAGAATGGTATAGCCAAAAAAAAATGAATGAGTATTTTATCAAAGAGAAATGTATATGTGACAATCTCCTCCTTTGGACTAAATGGAAGCCAATAAGAAAATGACTTAATAGACAAGTATTAATTCTCAACTACATTTCAGGAATGTGTATAAGGGCAGCCTGAGGATAGTTATAAAGAATACTAGTAGCCCTGCGCACGAATCTGTGTGCCAGTAGGTCGCTGCCACCCTCCTGTAGCTCTCCACCTACTGCCCCGCCCTCCTGTAACTCCCCCCACCCCTCCTCATAGCTTGTTGCCCTGCCCTCTCCTGTAGCTCTCTGCCTCCTGCTTGCCTGCTGCCCTGGCCCTCCTGTAGCTCCCTGCAGCCCATTTGTACCTCACTGGCCCACCCTCCTGCTGATCCGTGATCTGGTCGTGATGTGCTTGGTCATTGTGCCTCAGGGCATAACGACTAATTAGCATATTTCTCTCCTATTATATAGGATATGTGTTTGCACTAGAGGCGTCTGCAGTATGACTGGGGTGGTTGGTACTAACAAATCTGTTTGCAAAAACACTTCTCCAAAGATAAGGAAAAGTTATGTAAAAATGTCCAATGAGTACAACACCACCATTTATATCAAACTACACAAGAAACTAGGACTGTTTTCTTATCTTTGATTCCCCAGAGGGCTTGGTAGAGGGCCTTGCACATTGGCTCCCGCTAGGTGTTGAATGTTAAGTGAATAATTACGTGCTCAGACACTGATTCCTGAAGGTAAAACAGAGAGTATGCTCATTTAGGGTCAGTATGAACCCAGAAACCATCTATGCTTTTCACAGGTGACAAGGGTCATGCACTTTCTAAGATGTAGAGATTAGAAGCCCATGACTAAATCCTGCAATTACTCCACTTCTTATTCCGTTTTTCGGTGACAACATACAGGCTAAGTCTGCTTGGAGTTCTGGAGGCTGATAGCATAAACGGAGTTTGCCAGGCAGACCTAGTCCACCCTTGTGCATCAGAGAATATAAGTCCTTAGGAAATTCTTCCTAATCCTGCCACTAAGTTCTTGATTCAGGTCATCCCCACCTTCGAATACCACATTCCTTAGGAAGGCAGTATGGGAATGCACTACTCTACCTTCCCACTCCTATATTACAACTAGAGGCCCGGTGCATGAAAATCGTGCACTGGGGAGGGTCCCTCAGCCTGGTCTGCACCTCTCGCAGTCCAGGACCCCTTGAGGGATGTCTTTCTGCTGGCTTAGGCCCAATGCCCCCAGGGATTGGGCCTAAGCCAGCAATCAGACATCCCTCTTGCAGTTCGGGGCTCTCGCCATCCAAGACCCCAACACCCCTCACTTTTTACCGCCCACCTGCAGCAGAGGCAGGAGAGGCTCCTGCCACCACTGCTGTGCTTGCCAGCCGTGAACCCAGCTTCTGGCTAAGTGGCACTCCTCCTGTGGGAGCTCACTGACCACCAGGGGGCAGCTCCTGCATTGAGTGTCTGCCCCCTGGTGGTTAGTGTGAGTCATAGTGACTGGTCATTCTGCCATTCAGTCAATTTGCATATTAGAGTTTTATTATATAGACTAGATACAATATACACAGATGCCATTCCATTGTTTCTTAGCAAATGCCCACCTCAACCATCCCAAACAAGTTGGATTGTTAAAAATGCTGCAGAATGACTCTACTTTACTCTCACTCTCAAGAGTTTTTCCTTTCATTCTAATGAAAATTCCCTTTTTTACTATTTGATAGTGGCAGTAAATTGGGCCAAATAATCTCTTAAATGCATTTCAACTTTAAGATCTCAAAGTTACAATATTTTCTGTTCATAGTATAACTTCTAAAATAGGTGCTTTTATGCCCTAAATGAGTCAGATTCTTTCAATGATTTCTGGGGTTAAACTATGGAGTCGGGAGGGAGCTCTGTGTCTGTGGGGCTTTGTGTATATACTTGTTTATTCTTCAACTATGGAAACTATTCTTCATGCATAGTCAGCTAAGCCAAGGTAAAGGTATTTTCCTGAAAATGTACATATAACTACCAAGTATTATAACATTGTTATTTTTATAATTACTCCATATTAGAAAACTCCCCAGTTTAATAATTTAATTTTATATTATTTATTACAGGACAGGATAAGAGAAAATGATAGCAATTGCCTGAATAATGAACCTAACTTTTTTAAAAAGCATTCATGTGATGATGATAAGGTAATGATAATTATTTGGAGTTTGTATGTCATTCGAGCTTGATTTCATAGAAGCTTATATGCTTTTGTATCTGTTAGATAATTATATTGATTATATTAATAACTTATTCTTTTGGCTCTAAGCAGGCAGTTCCCATTGATCTATTAAGTCATCCTGTGGTGTTCTTTTATACTCTTGTTTTACAAATAGTCCTGCACTTATTTGATAAATATGTTTACTTTAGCATTTCATTTTTCACTTATAAAATGCTAGAACTGTTGAATTCAAAGAGACACACATCTCTTATTTCTGAAATCTTTATGAAGGAAAACGCTTGTTAGGGCATAATTTAGTTGTAGGCATTTAGAAATTGTTTTCTTTTAATATTTGCTAATCTTCACACCACGACAACTTCTAGTTGGTGTAAAACTTTCAACAAATGCTTGTGTGATTTCTTTCCACAAAAACCAGTGTGGTATTCAACAGTCTTTTAAAAAAATAATAGCAGAGTTAACCTTATGGCATCTAATAGTCTATAGTCATAAGTTCTTATTTTTAAAATTTCTATAATTACAGTGTGATTTGTTTTAGGTGAATATGACTCTTTATTTTCCTATTACCAGCTACTCATCCATAGCTCAAAATGTACAACATCATAACAATAAGAAAGCCACACATACCTTTCATTGTCATTGCTTCCAGAAGACCTCTCCCTTGGTTATCTTGCTTAAAATTAAATAAACTTGTTATGTGTCCACCCACAAGTGGTAAGATCACACATACATTACAGAGAAAGAGAATTTTAAAAGCTAATCATTAAACTGAGTTCCAGGCCCTTCAGGCTGTCAGCTTCTAGGCCACAGTTTCAGTCCAGTTACTTGTCAGTCATGTGATTAACTGGAAAAGAAAGCTGGGTGGAGGTGGGGTATTGCTTAGCAACAGGGTTCTGGCTTTAGGATCCTTAAGAAAGCTTTTCATTTCATAATATTTTATTTGAACCACAGCCCTTCTGATTTTTTTCTGTAATAGGAAGCTACGTTTTTAAAAACTGCTGCTCGCAAGTTGAAGCAATTTCTTAAAATGAATATCCATGAGGAATTCAAGCTCCACTTATCAATAGTTTCACAGGGCACATTAAAACTGTTGAACTGCACCAGGAAGGTAAGCTGAGGACTATTTACTTTGAACAAAAATATAAACTACTCCCCTTATAGTTTTATTAGAGATATTATCATTCTCTAATGATCCATTATCATAAAAGTCTAAGTGCTTATTATAACTTAAACTTGAAATACATTTACTCAACTCTGGAAGAGGAAAATTGCAACTTGAAAATACCTATTTTTCTCTTGGCTAGGGCAAATCAATAGTTTTAAAGGGGGAGTAAAAGTGAATGCATATTTCATTGCCTTAACAACTTTCAAGGAGGCTAGTGTGATAAGTGGGGTGGGGAAAGGTAAATTTTTATCACTAAAACCTATTAATATTTTTAATCCACATATGTATAGATTTATAAAAACTCATAGCAAATAAAACAGGTAAAATGTATTTAACAAATATCTTTCTCATTAACACTGGGCATATACACTGAGTGGCCAGATTATTATGACCACCTGATGTTTGTAGGCAAATTAGCTGTACACTGCATCATATGGAATATGGAAGCCGAAGGCCTGTTTCAACACCTTTGCTGTCTGCTGTTACCGAGATAAAACGTCTCCAATTCGCACAGGAACACAAGGATTGGACAGTCGAGCATTGGAAAAAAGTCATGTGGTCCGATGAATAACGTTTCCAGTTGTATCATGCAGATGGCAGAGTGAGAATTTAGCAGAAACAGCATGAAAGCATGCACCCCACATGCATGAGTAGAACCCTTCAAGCTGGTGGGGGCAGTGTTATGCTTTGGGGCATGTTTTCCTGGCATGATTTGGGCCCTTTAATTCGTGTAGAACAACGTCTGAATAGCACAACATACCTAAGTATCATTGCTGATCAAGTTCATCCTATCATGTTGCTGGTGTATCCCAATGGAGATGGCTTCTTCCAACAAGACAATGCGCCATGCCACAGTGCTAGTATTGTGCCGGAGTTTCAAGAACATGAGGGAGACTTTACCTTGCTTAGGTGGCCCCCACAATCACTAGATCTCAACCCAATTGAGCATTTGTGGGGCGAAGTTAAAAGAGCCATCAGGCAGCTGGTTCCACAACCATCAAACTCACAGAACTGGACAGTACTATTCATCAGGCATGGTGTCAGATTCCTCGCATCACCTTTCAACATCTCGTGGAGTTAGTGCCAAGAAGAATCGCTGCAGTATTGAAGGCAAAAGGTGGCCCAATGAAGTACTGATGGGGTGGTCATAATAATCTGGCCGCTCAGTGTATATGACCAACAATTTTCTATTTCTTTGTTTCAATAATTTTGATAAGTATAGGGCTAATTTTTCCCTACTGCCTGCTAGCGGTTGTTAAGCAAACAAAACAAAAAAAAATTGGAAAAGATTATCTTGAGTGTAGAAAGTTTCTTAATCTATAAAATGAAGGGAAAATAATAGTATACATTATAGGCTATTGAAGATTAAGTGGCATAACTCATGTAAAATGCTTAGGATCAAAAAGGTTTCAATAAGTGTTATATTATTATTACAATTAACCTCCTCTTCAGGAATTTTACCAGCTGCCACACAAAGCCAAAAGGTTTCTTATGATTTTTTAAAAGAAAATTTTTAGGATAGAAAAAGGTTGTGTGTTATTTTTTAATACCAGTAGTTGCCCACAGCTCAAGTGGTAAAACTGTTTTTGCGCCCTACTGGTAGTGATGACAAAGATGACGTAAGTTGAACCAGTTCCCTTATCATGTGTTAGGTACACAGTGCCAGCCAGTCTCCTCCTGGTGTCCTGGGTTTGCCAAACTTATTTCCCATTTTGTCCCCTTACTTATGTTAGTCTCTTTTCTATAATTCTGATCTGCCCTGTTCTACATCCTTCAAGGCCACACTCAAGATTCATGAAGACTTCATAGTCTAGCCTACCAGCTTTTAATCCTTATTCATAGTGATATCAAACTACTGTCTAATGCAAGAAAGGCCAATAGGTTCATTGTTGCTTACACATCCAAATGCTTAGTAATGCCTGTTGGAAACACCATGTTGTGTATTAGCCTCACGTCAAGGCTCAACTGAAAAACTGCAGACAAACTAGTGATATCACCTCTTCCCCTAGGAAGGGCAGGGGTTATGGGTATGCTATGTATTTGCAATTCCTTCTCTCATGTGCTGAGCTTTGCATGGATCACCATGTTCCAAAATCAACTAACTGTCAAGAAGGAAAACACAAATGATTTATTCTTGAAATTAAATAAAATTATGTCACAAAACTAACCTGATAAAATCTGCATTTTTCTTAAAATGATAAGGTAAGATATTAAATACAGTCAGCTACATTGACTTTTCTTCATGAGTCAGGTCTGCATGTACTATTGATTATTTCATTTTGCTTCTGATAGATAAAGCACAATAAAATGTATGGTCAGGATTTCACAATTTAATGATGACTTTATTTTCATATTGATTAAAATTCTAGTGTTGTTTGTTACTATACCCTTCTGTATTAGCTTTTTTACTTTATTTATTTATTTATTTAAATTTATCTTTATTTTTGAAAACATCGCAGATTTCCCCCCCTCCCCATATATTAGTTTTTCATGCCTCACAGCCATTAAGACAGTGCTGGGCATACCTGCAGGATCCAGGATATTCGGAAGATAATCTCTCTTGCTCCTTCCTTTTCCCTCATCCTCATACAGGCATACCTCGGAGATATTGTGGGTTCAGTTCCAGACCACCCCAAAAGAGCGAGTCACTGAATTATTTTTTGTTTCCTAGTGTATATAAAAGTCATGTTTACACTACATTGTAGTCTATTAAGTGTGCAGTAACATTATGCCTAAAGATGTACATGCCTTAATTTAAAAATACTTTATTGCAAAAAAATGCTAAACATCATCTGAGCCTTTGAGTGGTAATCTTTTGCTGCTGGAGGGTCTTGTCTTGATGTTGATAGTTACTGACTGATGGGGGGTTGTTGCTGTAGGTTGAAGAGGCTGTAGCAATTTCTTAAAATAAGACAACAATGAAGTTTGTCACATCAATCAACTCTTCCTTTCATGAGTGATTCCTCTGTCCCATGTAGTTGTTTGAGAGCATTTTACCCACATAGAGCTTCTTACAAAATTGGAATCAGTCTTCTCAAATCTTGCTGGTGCTTTATCAACTAAGTTTATGTCATATTCTAAGTCCTTTGTTGTCATTTCAGCACTCTTCACAGCACCTCCACCAGGAGTAGATTCCATTACTTAACCCTATGGAGCAACTTCTCAGCCATTAAGGCTTTGTCATGAGATGCAGCAATTCAGTCCCATCTTCAGGCTCTACTTCTAACTCTAGTTCTCGCCATTTCCACTGCATATGCAGTTCCCTCCTCCATTGAAGTCTTGAACCCCGAAAAGTCATCCATGAGGGTTAGAAACAACTTCTTCCAAAGTCCTGTTAATGTCGATATTTTGACCTTGTCCCATGAGTCATGAATGTTCTTACTGGCATCTGGAATGGTGAATCCTTTTCCAGGTTTTCCATTTACTTTGCCCAGATCCATCAGAGGAATCACTATCTATGGCAGCTACAGCCTTTTGACAGGTATTTCTCTTTTTTAAAAAAATATATTTTATTGATTTTTTTACAGAGAGGAAGGGAGAAGGATAAAGAGTTAGAAACGTCGATGGGAGAGAAACATCTATCAGCTGCCTCCTGCACACTTCCTACTGGGGATATGCCTGCAACCAAGGTACATGCCCTTGACCGGAATCTAACCTGGGACCCTTCAGTCTGCAGGCCGACGCTCAATCCACTGAGCCAAACCAGTTAGGGCTTGACAGGTATTTCTTAAATAATAAGACTTGCAAGTTGAAATTACTCCTTGTTCCATGGACTGCAGAATGGATGTTAACAGGTATGAAAACAACATTAAACTTGTTGTCTAGTTCCATCAGAGCTCTTGGATGGCCAGGTGCATTGTCCATGAGCAGTAGTATTTCAAAGGGAATCTTTTTTCCTGAGCAGTAAGTCCTAACAATTGGCTTAAAATATTCAGCAAACCGTGTTGTGAACCGATGTGCTGTCACCCGGGCTTTGCTGCATTTAAAGAACACAGGCAGAGTAGATTGAACGTAATTCTTAAGGGCCCTAGGATTTTCAGAATGGAAGCTGAGCACTGGCTTCAACTTAAAGTCAACCAGCGGCATTAGCCCCTAACAAGAGAGTCAGCCTTTGAAACTCTGAAGCCAAGCATTGGCTTTTCCTCTCTAGCTGTGGAAGTCCTAGTTGTCATCTTCTTCCAAATGAGTGTGTTTCATCCACATTGAAATCTGTTGTTTCATGCAGCATCTTCGGTAATTATCTGAGCTAGATCTTCTGCCTAGCTTGCTGCAGCTTCTACACCAGCATTCGCTGCTTCACCTTGCACTTTATGTTATGGAGAGGACTTCTTTCCTTAACCTCATAAACCAACCTCTGCAGCTTCAGAATTTCCTTCTGCAGCCTCCTCACCTCTCAGCCTTCATAGGATTGAAGAGTTAGGGCCTTGCTCTGGATTAGACTCTGGCTTGAGGGAATGTTGTGGCTTGACCCTCTATCCAGACCACCAAAACTTTCTCCAGATCAGCAATAAGGCTGTTTGGCTTTCTTATCATTCATCAGTTCACTGGAGTAAGCATTTTAATTTCCTTCAAGGACATTCCTATTGCTTTCACAATTTGGCTAACTTTGGAGCAAGAGGCCTAGCTTTCAACCCACTTGGCTTTCAACATGCCTTCCTCCCTAAGCTTAGTCATTTCTATCTTTTGATTTAAAGTGAGATAAGCAACTCTTCCTTTCACTTGAACTCTTAGCGGCCATTGTAGGGTTATTAATTGTGTCTCAGGGGATGAGGAGGCCCAGGGAGAGGGAGTGAGATAGAGGAATGGCTGGTCAGGACACAGTATTTATCAGTCAAGTTCACCATTTTATATGGGTACAGTTCATGGCGCCCCACAACAATTGCAATAGTAACATCAAAGATCACTGATAACAGATCACCATAACAAATATAATAATGGAAAAGCTTGAAATATTGAGAGAATTACCAAAATGTGACACAGAGATACAAAGTAAACTAATGTTGGAAAAATGGCGCTGATAGACTTGCTCAATGCAGGGTGGCCACAAACCTTCAATTTGTAAAATGAAAAAAAATAAAAAACACACCATGCAATTATATGGGGAGTGCAATAAAGTAACGCATAATAAAACGAGGTATGCCTGTATTCTACTTCTAAATAAAATGAGTATCTGCTAACAACAAATAATTGAAAGTAGATTCTCAAAAAGATTAGATGAGCTGAGAGTAATATACAAAAATTAGCAATAACATTAATGGGAGAAGCAATAAAGAATTAATATTCAATGTTGTAAATGTAATTTTGTTTTTAAGGATAAAGAAAAAAAACAACCTTCCTTGGGTGAAGTCCAACCCACTAAGAATTTGGTGAGAATAATTGTATAATTTTCTTCCTTTATCAGTTTTTTATTTAACTTAATTTCTTAATGTTTCTCTCTGAATTTTCTTTTTTATAGTTGGTTTTGAAAATATTTTATAATGTTATTAAAAGTAGCACGAAGGTACTTCTTTGAAATTGCATCCCTTTAAACTGTTTTTTTCTTTAAAAAATACTATTTTATTTAACTTTATATCATTTTTTTTTATTTTATTGGGTTGACATTGGTCAACATGAACATATAGGTTTCATGTGTAGGGTTTCATGTTACAAAATTTCAATATAGCATCATGTGCCCACCATCCAAACCACTATTTTAAAGTAAAAGAAGCTAGGGGAAATATCAGAGCATTGATTTTTTTTTTTAGAAAGCAACAAAATTGAAACATCACTAGGTAATAAACATGAATTAAGTATATAGGAGAAAGTAAACTAGAAAACAAGCATATGAAGAAAAAAAGCCATCCTTATTCCTTAGTAAAGAAATAAAAATTTAACATGAGAACCTATTTTATACCTATTTTATTAGTACAGAGTATACAATATATACTATAGGTATATGTGAATATTCTACATTTATAGATCATCTTTATATTACTTATCCTATATAATAAAAGGCTAATATACAAATAGACCGAATGGTGGGATGACCGGTCGCTATGATGCACACTGACTACCAGGGGGCAGATGCTCAATGCAGGAGCTGCACCCTGGTGGTCAGTGCACTCCCACAGCAGGAGCGCCACTCAACCAGAAGCCAGGCTGATGGCTGGTGAGCACAGCAGCAGTGGCGGGAGCCTCTCCTGCCTCCATGGCAGGCAGACATTCCCCCAAAGGGTCCCGGACTGCAAGAGGGCACAGGCCAGGCTGAGGGACCCACCCCTCCAGTGCACAAATGTCAAGCACCAGGCCTCTAGTATTAAATATTTATACTAACAGATACTATTGCACAAAATTATATAGCAATATAAAAATAAATATGAATGAAAAACTCAGGATAATGAAATTTGATTAAACATTAAATTGATATCAATATTAATTAGGAAAGGACATGTAAAAATGGATGCACCTGGTTCATAAGAGTGATGGGTTCTCCTTTCATATTTCCATTATTATTATAACTAGAGGCCTGTTGCACAAAAAGATTCATGCAATAGGCCTTCCCTTCCCTGGCTGCTGGCACTGGTTTTCCTCCGGCACCCGGGACCCAGGCCTTTGCTCCGGCCAGAGCTGCCTTCAAGCCTTCACTGCTCGGGCCAGAGCCGCCTTCAAGCCTTCGCTCCGCCGCTTCGCGCCTATGTATGCAAATTAACCGCCATCTTTGTTGGTGGTTAATTTGCATATCTCCCTGATGAGCCAATGAGAGGTGTAGCAAAGGTACAGTCAATTACCACGTTTGTGTATTATTAGATAGGATGTCACTTGAGCAATAGATACATGGGAGCATGAAAATCCCGTGCTCCTTTTAGAGAAGGGGGCTAGCTTGCTTACCTGGGGCTCAGGAAGCCTAGGAATCCCACTTGAACTAGCAGAGTTGAAATGAACACATGAGCGATTTAAACACACTGAGGGCTTCTGGGTAAGAACACATGGGTGGTGGGCACGCAATGCATCATAGAAACATACACTTGAAACCTACATAATCTTATTAACCAATGTCTACCCCAATAAATGTAATTTTTAAAAAAGAAAGGACATGAGAACAACACCAGACAAGAAAAACTGGGAAAGATATAGAAGGGAGATACCATCTGTGTTCTCAGGATTACAGAAATAAAATGGTTCTTCGCTTATGTCTTTTTAATGAATGTTCACTCTTGGTCTCTGAAGAAAAGTCATGAAATTCTCACATCCATGTATTTCCCATCTGCTTGGTTACATAAACTCAAACATGTACTCTTTAAATATGTCCTGGGACCCTCACTAAAAAATCTATGAGAAATTCTCCTTCATAATTATCTTTGATATCTGTTGTCTAATATTTTTAATGGATATTTCAAGGCCGTGTGTTAATGTTATTCAACACACACCTAAAAGAGACCCAAATCTGTGCCTTAACTAAAAATAGAACAACTGAGCTTAAGACCCAGTCATTATACTTACCTGACATGTGACCATAGCGGCTTATTTACCCTCCTTGCGGCTCTTCCCTCATCTGTGAAAGGAGGCAAAATCAGCAATTTCATAGAGTCAAGTAGATGCAATGAAAGAATGTGAAGCACAACATCTGATCTATAAAATACCCAATGACTGGTTGTAATCTCAGGAAGGTTCCCTGCCCTGTCCCAGCCCCACTTCCAGTGGCTCATGGGAGGGTAAGAGTATCAGCAAGGCTGCTCCTTGCTCCTCTCTTCCATGGGAGGTACCTCTTTCTCTGCTCTCCAGAGGCTGGACAGGAAACTGTAGGATTTTCATCAACAAATTACAGTTAGCTCATGAGGTGGGTGCAGACCGATGGTAGGGTGGACCTTCGGGCACATGCTCACTCAGGTAGATCCTTAGTCATCATCTTTGCTAAAATACGCTGCCTGTTTTCAGTGCTAACTATTACTTCCACACAAAAATATGTTTTCCCATATTAAAAAACCTAATTAATTTACAAATACCTTTCTCACAAAAATTTAAATAGCATTCTTGTCCTGTTGTAGCCACCAGGCATCGCTCTTTAATGAATTCTAAATCTTAAACCACAACAACATTGAATTTCCTACATATCATCCCAACTAGAGTTAGAAATCACAGGTTTAAAGTATGATGCAAGATTCTCCTTTCCCATGACAGAATTTTCAGTAGAACCTAAGATGGTGGAAATTAAAGATTGAATATTTGAAAACATGTATTTTTATAAAAATGTGAACTTAAAACTTTTTTTGCATATTTCTGTAGGAAGAGAAAAAATCTTCGAAGGGACAGAAAAAACAGGATGAAATGTGTTTCCTCATGATACTACTAGAAAAGATAAAAACTTGCTGGAATAAAATTTTGAGTGGCACTAAAGAACATTGAAACGTATGGCGTGACAATATAAAGACGTGAACTTTAGTTGCATCCCTCAAGAATTGAACTGCTCGTGCAATTTTCCGGGGTAGAACGCCTCCCAGAAATTACTGAATGCACCTGGTAAAAATGGGTTAGAGCAATTGAGAAATACATGCTGTGGTACTAGAAGGACACAAGCAATGGAACCGAACGCTGCAATCAACGGACTATTTCCTATGTGTGTGCACATGCGTCAGCTGGTGTTAATTTGGGGCTGATTTTTGTAAGACGATCCATGTAAGGTATTAGCTGCAATAATCCTTTTTAGACCTGTTAAAAATGTTCAGGAGACATGTAAAATCTGTGGTGTATATAAAGGTTACAAGGATTAAAAATTAGCTTTGCTTTATTTCTTTATGGCCTACTATGCATCAGTATAATGCAATGAGTGTGGACAGTGTCATCTTCTGGCAGAGTTGACAGTGAGGTATGGATAATGCCCAAGAGAACAAGTCATGTATCTTAAAGCAGAAACGTAAAGGAGTCCAAGATGCTTTCAGAGGCGTGTGACTGTGTAGCACATTGCCTCCAGTAGATGGCATAGCAAATGTCCTAAAATGAAAACAAAGAATAATTTCACAAAATAGGAAGTCACCTGTTTTAAGGCTGCTAAGCCATAGTACCGAGTTTCTTCTGTCATTTACATGTAATAAAACTTGTCTAAATGAGTTTGCAATTTGGGAAGTATATTTTTAAGAGAATAATATATGTTGCCTTTTAATTAATAGAGTGTGTATATTTAATTTTGACACTATATCTGTATATAAAAATATTTTCATACAGTATTACGAACAAATTACTTGCTTTGGATAACATTTCTCCTTTGATAATAAATGACCTGTGTATTAACACTGTCAGATTCACTTAATCTCAACAGAACTTTTTTCCCAGTTTTATTGGGAAATATTTGACATGCATCACTGTATATGTTTAAGGTATCCGATATGATGATTTGTTTTACAGATATTGTGAAATGATTAACACGATAAGGTCAGCTAACATCATATTCTCATATAATAAAAAGAAAAGAAAGAAAAAAACTGTTTTCTCTTTATGATGAGAACTTATAGGACTTACTCTTAACAATTTTCCTGTGTTGCGTACAGCAATGTTAGCTATAGTCATCATGTTGTACATCCCTGGGATTTAGTTATCTTATAACTGGACCTTTGTACCTTTTGACCACCTGCCTCCAGCGTCTCCCTCCCCCTATCCTCTGTGTCTGGTGTCTTTTTTTTTTAATACATTTTTATTGATTTCAGAGAGGAAGGGAGAGGGAGAGATAGAAACATCAGTGATGAGAGAATCATTGACTGGCTGACTCCTGCACACCCCCTACTGGGGATCAAGTCTACAGCCCGGGCATGTGCCCTTGACCGAAATTGAACACAGGACCCTTTAGTCCGCAGGCCGACACTCTATCCACTGAGCCAAACCAGCCAGGGCTGTGTCTGGTGTCTTTTAATACAAGCTTTTATTTTTAGGTTCCACATGTGAGATCATACAATATTTGTCTTTCTCTGACTTATTTTACTTAACATAATGTCTTCAAAGTCCATCCATGTTGCCACAAATGGTAGGATTTCCTCATTTTTATGGCTGAATAATTCATCCACTAAAAGAAACTTAGATTTTTCCCATGCCTTGGCTATTGTGAACAATGCTGCTATGAATATGGAGGTAGTTATCATTTTGAGTTAGTGCTTTGGATATATTCCTGGAAGTGGAATTTCTGGATCATATGGTAGTGGTTTTTAATTTTTTAAGCTCTTCCATACTGTTTTTCATAGTGGCTGAACTGATTTACAGTCCCACCAACTGTGCACGTGGGGTACCTTTTCTCCACCTCCTCACCAACATCTGTTACCTCTTATCTTTTTTATGATGGCCATTCTAACAAGCACCAGGTGATATCTCATTGTGATTTCAATTTGCATTTCCCTAATGACTAGTGAGCCAACAGGATTTTTTTAAGGCGAGATTTTTAATATTGCCCTACTATTTGGTCTCTTTCACTGAACACATAACCTTTAATACCTTATTACCAAGAACGTACACGGGGCCAATGATAGTATTATTAAACGGGTTCTGCTAAATATTTTTCCATACTTCCAATTATTCCATCAAGAAGTATATATCTTATAAATAAAACTAGAGGCCCAGTGCACATTTGTGCACTTGGGGTGGGAGGGGTCCCTCAACCCAGCCTGTGCCCTCTCACAGTCCAGGACCCCTCCGGGGATGTCTGACTGATGGCTTTTAGTCGGACATCCTTAGCACTGCCACAGAGGCAGGGGAGGCTTCCACCACCACCGCTGCGCTCACCAGCCATGAGCCTGGCTTCTGGCTGAGTGGTGGGGAGCACACTGACCACCAGGGGGCAGCTCCTGTATTGAGCATCTGCCCCCTGGTGGTCAGTGTGCATCATAGGGACCGGTCATTCTGCGGTTTGGTCAATTTGCATATTAAAGTTTTATTATATAGGATGACTAGGTTATGAAGCATGAATATTTTTAAAGCTTTTATATTAAAGTAAATTTAGTCAACTTTTAAAAATGTATTATCAATTTCTATTTCTGTCAGCATATAAGGTCTTTCATCTTCATGCCCCGTGGCAGTTTTCAGTTTCTTTATAAGACTGCTGGTTTGATGAATAAAATCAGCACTTCTCTGTGGAGTACACTCAGCAATCCTGGCAACCTCCTATTCCCAGCCTCATTGCTGCAAATTCACAATAGGATGGAAAGTGAGGTGCTTGGGCAAATAGAGAAAAGGGAAGGGAAAAGGGAAGGGTTATGTGAGATAGAGTGAACTGATGTGTCATCGGTAACTTTTATGCAAAGGCACTTTTTCTGAGTCACCAGGACACTGGAAGTCAGCCGCGTTTTGCAGCTCTCGTGGACCCACCACACACGCATCCTTTCCATGGCCACTTGCCTTTCCCTCCGAAGGTGGTTAGTACGGCTCTCGCTCACAGCCCTCCGGTCTCCTCCCGAGCACTGGGACAGGGAAGAAAAACAGAAAATGGAATGGTTGGCTGTCTAACTTGTGATAAGAAAGCTGCATTTTCAACACTTCTGCAATATTTTGTTCTTGCTTTTACAATATAGAAAATTCTATTAAAATAAATCCTTGCTTGTCCCAAGTTGTAGTTGTCTGTATATCTACCAACTTCTCCAAATAAATGATCAACTTTAGGACAGAAATTAATCACATCTTATTTCTCTTAATACTTCATAGAAGGAAGACCATATATAACATATTTTAAGTGTATATGAAGCTTTAGTTTTGTGCATGTTACATTAGGCTAAGCGTTTTACCTCCTATTTAAATTGATGTCACTGTCACATGTTAAAGTTAGGCCAGATGATTGGAAAAAAGGTCTTATTTTAAAGATTACACAACTGTACAACTAAGATAAAATATTAAAGTAATAGAACAAGGAATATTTGGTCATGTGCATGAGTAATACATTAGAGATATATAATTGCTAACAAAATTTAAGGTAAATATTAAATACTTCTATCAATTATAAGCACGCTGGTGCCCAAAATGAGCTAGACTAGGTTTCTAAGAAATCAACAGATGGGTTATGAAATCCAAAAACCTCTCTCTCTTACAAATCTCTGTAATTCCATGCTCCCATCCCCACTCAGATATTCATGCTTATGTTGCTGAGGAGCTTTTAAAATGATGGAGGGCTGGTAATATTAGCCTAAAGCACCCCCTAGCGGCAAAATAAAAACCAATCCACATACAGTTTTACAGCCACTGTATGTAATCATTGAGAATCGACAGTAACAATTGAAAAAAAAAAAGTTAAAGTGAAACTAAAAATGAGTGTGGCTATCATTAACTCCGCTTTAATGACTCTCCACTGCCCTATTAAATAATGCAGACAGTTGGAAAATCAGCCTATCTTCTATCTCAGTACTAAAAATATACTTAACCATATAAAATACCTACACCTGCAATGCAAATAGACAGGAGTTCTATCACTTTTTTCATTCCCTGAGCCTCTCTACTCATGGTAACAATATTCACTTCTAGCCTACAGAAAACTGAGTACGAATTAAACATGTCTAATCTGATGTTTTCACTGGAGGTAACTCCTGTTATAATTTTAAGCATGATGGTCTAAATTAAACTCTAAGTTAGTAAGTATTCATCACAGATGAATACGTTTGCCATTCAATTGTGTGTTACCTAATTAGAAATACTCAATGTGTTTTAACCTGGACTTCACTAAATGTTTTCAATTGCTAGATTTTATTGGCTATGAAGAGAATGTTTCAATACCTTAATCTGTGACAAACCTTTAAGGTCAAAAACACTTCAATAAAATAGTAATAATTTCTTTGACAGCTAATGGCCACAAAAATCTGCTCATTTTTAAAACTCTTTTAAAACTCTTACATTTTGACTTCAAAGATTTTCTTTGTTTCTTTGTCTTCCTATCTTTCTACCTACGTCTGGCTAAAAGATAAGACATCAATGAAAACCAACTAGCAATTTTTTTGCTTCATGTCTTTATTGAATAGGTGCAAAAATGAAAACTTATTTGTAATAAAACCCATAGAATGAACAGGAGACAACAGCAATTATAATAATCTTATTTTTCAAGCTAATAACTTTAAAAATAATGTGTAAGAAATTTTTATGTTTTAATTTAAGCTTACAATCTTTTAAATTCTACCACACTGGCAAATGCTTGTGAGAATAAATAAAAATAAATGATGCATAGATCTAGGAAAATTTCTTAAAAACCAAACTAATGCATGACAAATCAATGTGAAAATGACATATGCAAGTAATATAAAAACATATTTAAATATTGTCATAACATGTTTCATAATTCATGAAACTCTTTTGACCAACATAACTGAATAAAGACAACCAGAAATAAATTAATAAAAATTCAGGGTTGAAACTCTAATGTAAGTAAAATGACAATTCCCATTACATTAAGTTTATACCCCCTGCCTGAATGAAAAGAACAACTTATGAATAATATTATAAAGTATAAGCATAAATAAATTTCAGGAAACTGGATAAGCCACGAATTTCTACATTGATCCTTATAGTTTAACAGAATCAAAAACAATAAGCTAGGAACTGCCTATAAAAGATTTGCTTAAATATTTACAATAGAGTTGTTAGGCTTGATTCAACAGAAATTACTACTGAATCACTGAGTATGGCTACACAAGCAAAGAGACTTACTACTACATACTACGCTACACTGAGCGTGACAATGATTACATGATGTATTTTAGCCAAAGTAAAGAAGGATAATTAAATTTTTGTGAATGCTTAATTACATAAGTCAGGTATGCAAAGCAATACATTTTCAGTGGCTTTTATTGTGATGTGAATGGTATTTCAACATGAAAAACTAAAAAGAAAATGTGAGTAGGAAAACTTAGATATTCTCTTAACCTACTCATAACTACATCTAACTATACTTCAAGAGACTACAATTCAAATTCTTTTACCTGCATGCCCTCCACTGATAATTATTACCAAAATTATTACTTATTTGGTGAGGTGGTTTGTTTTAAAATCCACTAAAGTAATTTATTCTACATTCTGATGCATAGAAATAAACGTGAATTTGAAGAAAATTTTTGCATCTCTTATTAATTACATTTTCAAACTTTGCAAAAATGTAGTAGTAAATTAAAACTATTCCATAGCCCTAGCCAGTTTAGTGCAGTGGATAGAGCCTCAGCCTGTGGACTGAAGGGTCCCAGGTTCAATTCCAGTCAAGGGCACATGCTTCAGATGCAGGCTGCTGGCCCTGTTGGGGTGTGCAGGAAGCAAACAACCGATGTGTCTCTCTCACATCAGTGTTTCTGTCTCTTCTCTCTCCCTTTCATTCCCTTAAAAAAAAAAATCAATGGAAAAATGGGTGAGGATTAAAACATAATAATTAATACAAATAATAATAAAACTACTCATTAGACATTAGGTTATAGAAAAGAAAGAAAATAACTGAAATTTGAAGATGCAGACACAGAGGTGAAAATTTCAGTTATAACTAGAATAAGATTTGTATTTTTAGCCTGTGTCTCCAAAAAGGAAATTGCATAATTACATTTTGAGAGAATGAGTAAAAATATTTAAATTATATCATCATACACTGAGTAAAGGGTAACACAGAACTTATTTTTTCTTTTAAAAAAAATTTATAAAACTGTTGAAGAGAACTACTGCAAAATGACCTCACATAACTAATTGCAACTAAAAATATTCTCAATTCCAAAACTCCAAGCATCCCATCCAACTATCGCAGAGACTGTCTGAAAATAGGCACCAGTAATAAAATGTTTATTCTGATTTTTTGCTCAAAGTAATGATCATCCTAAAGCCTGAAGGGCTAAGCACTAGAGTTCGAGGATTTGTACTTGATGTGTTTTCACAACAACAGAAGAGTAACACCTAAGTTAACGATTCCACTTGAAATCATTTTCCAACAGATGAGTATTTTCTTGACTGGCACAGTTTGGAATAATAGGTATTTATTATATACAGTATATGTACACATATATACACACACACCCCACACATTATATAGCAAGGGGATTATGTTCCAAAAATTGCTGGAAAAAAGTGTATCAATTTTAGCACAAAATAACTAGAGGAAGTGCTCTGGCTGGAAGCAGTAACAGTCATCAAACTCTGGACTTCGCTCTTTCGTTTGGGGTTTTGTTCACAGAACTATTCTTCGAATGCCACATTCACAGCAAAACTTGGCCCATTCCACAGGGTACTTAGTCCCACACTCGTGGCAGAATTTGGGTAAGGAACTTCCTTCAAAGCCTTTCATGTTTCCACCGTTGAGTGAAGATACGTAGTCGCCATCTGGCCTGGGAAGTACAGAAAAAAGTTCACATCAGCTGTTCTCAAGCCCCATAACTCTTGGAAACAGGGCTAACATTAAGTGTGACTAAAAACTTGCTTCATCTCACTTCCAGTTCAGATTAAGAAAACACTCTTATTTCTCTTAATTTATTTTTTTTTAGAATTACAGATTTCTTTATTTGAATTATGTATTTGAGGTATCCCATTTGCCAGACAGCATAAGTTTTTTTTTAGAACTCTACTTCCTTTCTGATCTACTCTCTGAAAAACAATCTCATCTCTGAAGAAACATACTTTGTTGTGAATTTTATTACTAACAATAAAGGCTCTAGTCTTTGGAATGCACCCAGCTGTTATTTAATGATGCATGGAAAAGAATAAAACCGTAATTTGACCTTCCTTCTGCTTTTTGCCTTTACATTTCTAAATCTGTATAATCACAATGTCAAATTTTTATTTCCTTCCTATCTTCTTACATTTTTTTTTATTTTTCAGTTACATTTAACATACAATAATATATTAGTTTCATGCGCACAACATAGTGGTTAGACATTTATGTAATTAATGTAAGTCTACTACCCATCTGACACCATAATTATTACACTACTAGAGGCCCGGTGCACGAAAATTCATGGACTGGGGAGGGGGGAGCCCTCATCCCAGCCTGCCCCCTCTCACAGTTCAGGAGCCCTAAGGGGATATCCTACTGACGGCTTAGGCCTACTCCCCCCGGGGACAGGGCCTAAGCCGCAGTCTGGCCTGCCTCTGCGGGAGGCGACCAGGCCCATCAGGAGAAGGCACCGCCCCCAGCCTGCCCTCAACCTTTGCAGCCACTGTGGCTTTGTCCGGAAAGACGTCCAGAAGGACATCCGGAAGGATGTTCGGCTGTCTGGTCTAATTAGTGTATTATGCTTTTATTATTATAGATTATTGACTACATTCTCTATGCTGTATTTTACATCCCTGCCTGCTATCTTTACTAAAGTTACTTTCTCCTTTTCCCTCTCTCTTTCTCATCCTATCTACTCTCTTCAATTAAATAAGAATAGCAGGATTCTAAATTTGCAATGTGAAATGTTCTGTTTTAGTAGTATCAGTTCACAGGAATTTATACATTAAATACAATTTCCTGCTTTCATATCCTCTTCTTAATCTTAATCTGATCAGTGCCAAGTAATTATTTTAGTTCTCTCACTCACTGTTACTTTTTGAAGAGTTTTGTGTCCCAAGCCCTGTATTTATGTGGTGTAGGCACTTAAACATAATTGATTAATGTTCTTGAATCAAGGCGTTTTGCTGCTTTTGGAAAACTCTAGCATCCATTTAGGATGGTTTGAAATGGGTAGTTATGGCCATGGTGCAGCTCAGATTTTTTTCTTTTTTTTTTTTACAGTTGACAGTATTACAGACAGATGTTCCCTACTTACCCCTAAGTCCCCTCTACCAAACACCCGCCCCACCCCAGGCCTACTGTATGTATCCACTGACTATGCATACATACATATATGTTCTCTGGTTATTTCTTCCCAGTCCCCCTCACTACCCTCTCCTCTGAGATCTATCAGTCAGTTCCATGCATCCTTGTCTCTGGACTTACTTTGTTCATTGATTCCACAAATAAGTGGGATCATGTGATACTTCTCTGTCCCTGATTGACTTAATTTACTTAGCATAATACTTTCCAGGTTGCTCCATGCTGTCATAAAGGGTAAGAGATCCTTTTTTCTTTACAGCTGCATAGTATTCCACGATGTGTATGTACCACAGCTTTTTTATCCACTCATCTGCTGATGGGCACTTGGGCTGTTTACAGATCTTAGCTATCTATATATATAAAACCCTAATATGCAAATAGACCAAACGGTGGAACAACTGAACAACCGGTCGATATTACATGCACTGAACACCAGGTGGGTGTGCACGGAACATGGCAGGCGTCAGCCATGGCGGGATGGTGGAACAGGTGAACGGGGATGCCAGACCAAGGCGAAGTGCCAGTCACTGTCATAGGGGCGAGCCTCTGGTAGTTACTGAAAATTCTTTGCTCCTGCGCACCACGGTCCTGCCTGGCACTCACACCTGCTGCTGGTGCCGGCCCCGCTTGCACCCACTGCCAGCACTAGAGCCGCCACTCGCACCCTCTGCTAGCGCCCGGCGCTGGCTCCAATCGCTTGGCACTGTCAGCAGGTGCGAGTGGTGGCTGCCAGCCCCTATCGCCCCTGAGGGCTTCTCCACCTCCCCCTGCTCCTGAGGGGCGATCGGGACAGCAGCTGCTGCTTGCATCCACTGCTGGCACTGGCCCCAATCGCTCCATGCCATCAGTGGGTATGAGAGGGACCAGCGCCATCAGCGCGTGGGAGTGGCAGCAGTGGGAGCAGGGCTGCCAGCAGACAGGGGACCTGGGGCTGTGGTGGGAGGGGTCGGGCGGGGGCACAGAGGTTGAGTCAAGACCCACCCCTGTGTCCACTGTAGCCTTGTGGCCCACAGTTCAAGGTGCAGGAATTTGTGCACTGGGCCCCTAGTTGTAAATAAAGCTGCTATGATCATAGAAGTGCACGTATTCTTTCTGATTGGTGTTTTGGGTTTCTTATAATATATTCCCAGAAGTGGGACTGCTAGGTCAAATGGTAGTTACATTTTTAACTTTTTTGAGGAAACTCCAAATTGTTTTCCACAGAGACTGCACCAGTCTGCATTACAACCAGCAGTATATTAGGGTTCCTTTCCCTCCACATTCTCACCAGCACTTGATGTTTGTTGATTTATTGATGGTAGCCATTCTGGCAGGTGTGAGGTGATACCACAGTGTACTTTTAATTGACATCTCTCTGATGAATAGTGACACTGAGCATTTTTTCACAAGTCTATTGGCCAATGGTATGTCCTCATTGGAGAAGTGTCTATTCTGGTCCTTTGAATTTTTAAAAAAATATATGTTTATTGATTTCAGAGAAGAAGGGAGAGAGACAGAGACAAAAACATCAGTGACAAGAGAGAATCATTGATCTGTTGCCTCCTGCAGGAGGAGAATTTAAGAGAGCTTTGGGACAACATGAAATGAAACAATGTCCGCATAATAGGGGTGCCAGAAGAAGAAGCTGAGAAAGGAATAGAAAACCTGTTTGAAGATATAAAGACAGAAAACTTCCCTGACTTGGGGAAGAAAAAGTCACAAAAGTCCAAGAAACAGAGTCCCAATAAAGATGAATCCAAAAAGACCTACACCAAGACACATAATTAAATTGGCAAATGTAAAAGAGGAAGAAAGAATATTAAAGGCTGCATGAGAGGGACAGAAAGTTACCTACAAGGGAGCTCCCATTAGACTATCAACTAATTTCCCAACAGAAACACATCAGGCCAGAAGGGAATGGAATGAAGTATACAAAGTGATGAAAAGCAAGGGACTGAATCCAAGACTACTCTATCCAGCAAGGCTATCGTTCAAAATTGAAGGTGAAATCAGGAGCTAGACATACAAAAAAGATTAAAAGAGTTTATTATCACCAAATTAGCAATACAAGGAATGCTAAAGGGACTGTTGTAAGAAGAATAGAAAGAGAAGAAAAAACACAGGCATAAAGAATAAAAATGGCAACAAACAAGTACCTATCCTTTATAATAAAAAGCTAATATGCAAATCGACTGAAGCAGAACAGCCGGTCACTATGATGCGCATTGACCACCAGAGGGCAGACGCTCAACACAGGAGCTGCCCCCTGGTGGTCAGTGCGCACCCACAGGGAGAGGGCCACTCAGCCAGAAGCTGGGCTCATGGCTGGCAAATGCAGTAGTGGTGGTGGAAGCCTCTCCCGCCTTCACGGCAGTACTGAGGAGGTCTGACTGACAGCTTAGACCCGCTAGGGAGCAGGCCTAAGCTGTCAGTCGGACATCCCCTGAGGAGTCCTGGACTGCTGGAGGGCGCAGGATGGGCTGAGGGACCCCCCCCCTCAAGTGCAGGAATTTCATGCACTGGGCCTCTGGTCAATAATAACCATAAATGTAAATAGATTAAATGTTCCAATCAAAACACATAGGGTAGCTGAATTGATAAGAAAATATGACCCATATATATATGCTGTCTACAAGACACACACCTTAGAGCAAAAGACACACACAGACTAAAACTGAAAGGATGTAAATAATTTTCCATGCTAATGAAAATGAAAAAAAGCTGGGTAGCTTATATCTGACAAAATAGACCTCAAAGTGAAGGCCAAAGCAGGAGATAAGGAAGGCCACTTCATAATACTAAATGGATCAATACAACAAGAGGCTATAACTCTGGTACACATATATGCACCAAATATAGAAGCATCTAAATATATTTTAAAAAACTTCTGGAGGATATCAAGGGAGAGATTGATAGCAATACAATCATAGTAGGGGACTTTAATACCCCACTGACATCACTGGATAAATCTTCTAGACAAAAATCAATAAGAAAACAGCAATCCTAAGTGACACTCTAATTGGATCTAATTGATATCTTCAGAACATTCCACCCCAAAGCTACAAAATTACATTCTTCTCAAGTGCACATGGGACAATTTCAAAGATATACCACATGATAGAACACAAGCTAAATCTCTACAAATTCAAGAAGACTGAATAATATCAAGCATCTTCTCAGACCACAATGGCATGAAATTAGAAATCAATAAAATGCTCAAAAACAATTAAACACATGGAGGCTAAATAGCATGCTATTAAAGAATGAATGGGTTGCCAAAGAGATCAAAGAAGAAATAAAAGACACCTTAGAGACAAATGCAAATGAACACACAACAATCCAAAACCCATGGGACACAGTGAAAGCAGTCATGAGAGGGAAGTTTATAACACTACAGGCCAACCTAAAAAACAAAACAAGAAAAACTGGTAATAAGTTATCTAACGCTACAACTTAAGGAATTAGAAAGAGAACAACAAGAAAAGACTAGAATAAGTAGAAGGAAGGAAATAATAAAGACCAGTAAGAAAATAACTGACACAGACACCAAAA